TTGTCTTGGTGGGAGTTACCTAGCTGCCCTCAGAGCAGCTAGATTGCTGTGTCGTTACAGAAGTGCGTGTCCAGCCTTTCTCTTTCCCCCACAGCCTTGGTATTTTGAGGATTTCAGGGGCTCTGTGGGCCTGGCACGCAGGTTAAACAGGAAACGCTGCAAAGCGGGACAGTCAGGTTTGGTTCAGTGCAGTTCTGCTTCTGCCTGTATTTCCGAGGGAAACGTAAGGATCCGTGATGAGAAATGGAACGTTCAAAGTTAAGCCTCTTATATCATTCAGGAGCTCTCACAGCTCCTTAACCCATGATTAAAACTTTAGTTGAGCAGGGTATTGCCTCTGCCACTCTGACAGAAAGTGCAGTTTTTTCCTCTTTTCTTACAAATCCGAGAAGAACATTAGCATCACTGTTCTGCAGCACTGTCTTTGCTCATCCTTGCCCAGTGCAGCTCACATGAGGCCTGTTGAGCGGGTGACAGTCACTTCAGAGCTGTTGTTGACCCTAGTCAGGAAACCGAGGGAAGCAAGCAGCGTGCTTGCCTGCTGCTAAACAGCTAGCAGTGGTCTGTGAAAGCAAATTAGGCATGCATTTGGCAAATGATCTGCAAAGCTCTGCAAAAAAATCAGAATCAAAACGGCCCAGCTCATTTCTTTTTATAGGTTAGAGTCCAACTTAAATGTTTGATGTTTCCATTTTGCAGTCCTGCAGCCTGGTGTCTTACCTCTTTTCACAGAGTTACTATTTGCACTGATCAGTATATGCTGATACAAGTCATAGCTGACTTGGAGGACAGCCAACAGCATAAAGATTAACAGGTTTTGCTGGTTTCAGTACAGAATTCTGTAACCTTCAGATACTGTAACTATTTTTTTCCCCCAAAAATGTGTGGAGGAAATCCATTTTTATAAATTGCAGCCCATGTGGATGGAGTCTCTCGAGCTGTCTGATGACTAGTACTTCAGCACTATTCCTGGGATTACTCGGTTGTCCAAACGGGTTGTTAATAGAGATCATTTTTCCAGTCCAGTTACTTGTGCAGCAGTGATGTGAAGGAGCTGCTGGCCTGGTAAATCTAGAGGGATTGCTTATGTCGCCACTGGGGCCAGAAGAAAAGCTTCTGATAGGAGTGAATGACATTTTGGAAGTGGTTGGGCCATGCCAGGACCAGAGCACTGGAACAGGCTGCCCCGAGAGGCTGTGGAGTCTCCTTCTCTGAAGATCTTCAAGGCCTGCTTGGATGCAGTCCTGTGCCATGTGTTCTGGGTGCCCCTGCATGTGCAGGGGGGTTGGACTAGATGACTTCTAGAGGTCGCTTCCAACCTTAAGGATTCTATGATTCTATGATTTGTGACTCAGGAGCGAAGACTCAGAAATGAGGGGAGGAAACTGAGGTTCTAGAAAAGGTTGCTGAAACAGTAAGATTTTAAACACCAGGGCTCAGGCAGCTTCATAAGCTTCTAAATAATTTAAAATCTACTCTTAAATTTATTCACAAATTTAATGGATTAAGGGTTTTAATGGGAGTGCCCTTATGTCTAGGAAGATAGTGTGTTGATTTGCTCCAGAAATGACTTTACTAGCCTCTGCATTTTGCAGATTTTGCAGTACTATTTTTTTTTCTCTTCTGTGCAGACTGAGAGCTGGCTGGACATGAACCAGCTGTGAAGCAGAAACCTTTCATGTCTGCACTTGGCTCAGCAGAGAGGCCTGGTTCAGAGCTAGCTTGTCCCTCTGCCTGTCCCGTCTCGATGCAGTCACTGGGGGCTAAAATGCTTTGGTTATCGGGCTCCTGTAATTCACACAGTTCTGATTCTTTGTCTTGATCCTGCACTTCCAAATGGTATAATATGCTCTAACTCTTCTGAGTACAAGTGCAAGGATGTTTTGGTATCTGCACTTCAGTTTTGCAGGAGACTAGGGTGTTATTGCAAGGAGCTGGGAAGGCCCTCCCTGGCGAGGGAGCACGGTGTGGCTGGAAGCCACCAGGTGCCCTGTGAATATGAGGCAGTGGCAAACACACCCTGGCAGTTCTCCTGGCAGCTGTCTTAATTCTGTTCAAACATATTGAGCAGTGAGATTATAAATGTGAATTTAATGTGGAATAGTAAAAAAATAAAATAAAATAAAATAAAATAAAAAAGGGGGATGCCTTGGCTACAAGAAGAACTTCAGAACGAGTGTCTTAGTCTTTGTTGAGTTTTTGCTGTTTTGTTTTGTTTCCCCCTCTGGCTTCTTGCCACTGTTCTCATTGTCACTTGTCACTAATACCCTGAATTAATCTTCCTCTATTTTCATATATATTTCGTACGACTCTTGTGTTCGTAAGAACGAGAAATCTCCCTCTGAAGCAGGATAAAGGGGCTTGTTTTTTTATTCTTTTGTTATTGCTATTTTTACAATTCTATTCTTAAACCATCTGTCTTAATTTCCATGCAGGGCCCTGCTACATTTAGTTTAAGAGTTTAAGGTATTGTTGTTCAACTTGTCTCCCAGGAGTATTGTGAGGAGAAACAGCTGTTAAGCAGTTGTGATAGTGTATTTATTTATTTATTTACAATAAGATCTCTTCATTATAGTTTCACATGTAGATTTTTAAGTTTGCCCATATTTGGCCATATTTTTCATAAAGTAGCTATTGAGTAGTAATAGCTTTCCTGAGTTAATAGGATAGAGCAAGTAATAGCTGTTCTTTCAATATCCATTTTATCTTCAATTAAGATTGATCAGTGGAGGAGATGAGTAGTATGGGAAAAGGGGGAGCTTAAACTTTTATAGTGAGTGTCCGTGAGCCTTGGGTTTTGTGGAGGTGCTGCTGGGGCACGTGGAGACTCCGTAACCGTGTGGACTGCTCCCTTCTAGGCAGAAGCTGAAGAAGATTGTCACTCCGATCTGGTGAGGACCGATGACAATGAAGGGCCTGGTGAAGCCAATCTGCAGGTGCATCTCATGCTAGTGTTCTATTGTAAACACAGTGCTCTTGTGATTTATGCTCTGCTGCTCAGGCTCATTTATTTACCATATCTGTGTCGAGTTTACAAATACCTAATTTGTTTGCTTCTCCATAAGTGAAAAGGATGCATTTTACATTGCTTTCCAGGCATCAAATTCAATGTTCTGTTGTGTGTACAGATAAAAAGAAAGTGTGTGGCAGATTTGGAATTTCTCTGAAGAACCGTAGAAGTCAGACAGCAGTTCCTGTTTGAATCAAACTCAAGTTTAAATTGTCACTTTCTTCTGGTACAGAAAGCTGATAAAAGCAGCCTAATACAAAAGCAAGTTTTCTTATGATACTAGTCTTCTATTTAGCTACTCTTCAGAAGTCTTGATTGAAAGAGACATTCAAAATGTAGCTTCAAAGATGCTCAGAAATGCCCAGGAAAAGTTATGGGTTATCTTGTTTCACAGAGCAGAGTATTTTTAAAAGAGAAATGAATGTTAGAGGCTTAATTTGTATACTGTATAATATAAAATACATCGTTGGTTATAAAGCTTATATAAAGCTTTGTATGTAAGCATACAAAGAGGTAGCTTTTCTAGATATTAATTCCAGTAACTAGGTGACTTCTTGCTTAAGATACTTCTAGGTAAACAAGAAGTACAAAAGCCCTTTTCAGAAGGAGTGATTTTCTAGGGAGTCTTAGATGATACCGTGGTACAAACAATCTTCTCTTGGAACCAGATAAAGGTGGCCCAGATAAAGGTATTTACCTTATTCATTAGCTTTGGACAAATACTTATGCTTTTTTTTTTTTTAATTTACTATAAAACAGTTGCTGATTGTCTGAGTCTATACTCACTGTAGCCACCTAAGACTTGGAAGCCTAACACATAATTTGAAACTCTCTGAAACCCTATTTTTGTTCTTTATAATCCCTACTAAGAAAATGTACTGTCTGAATGTGACTCTAATTCAGACTTAATTGGATTTTTTAGGCAGAGCTCCAGATGTTCAGAGCTCAGTGGATGTTTGAGCTTGCCCCAGGTGTGAGTTCTAGTGGGTTGGAAACTCTGCCATGCAAATCATCAAGAGGACCTGGAGTAAAGTCTGTAGATACCAAAGGGAAACAGGAGCTAGCAAAAGAGGAAAAGGTATGAAAAAGTAGTTCATAGATTTTGTTTTTTTCCTTTTAGTATTGCAATCTATGCCAAAAGTTAACACTCTATTAAATCCATAGAAACTGGATGGAAGTTGAGCCATTGTCCCCACATTAATGTCTTCCTTATAAGTTTCTGTACTTGGTTTTGCCTCATGCTCCCAGTCTGCTTTCTGAAAGGTAAGTTGTGAGCAGCATTTCTGAGAGGGCCTTTCTGGCCCATTTGTGTAAATCACCGGTTTCAGCTTGTTAGTAGAAATTCAAGCAGAGGGAGAAGGAGCCTCTTGAATAGGCTGAAAATCAGTGGCCTGCAGGAGCTGAGGTTTCCTCCCTCAAGATGGCTTGGTGTATAGGCTGGCAGTGATTAGATCAGTACCATATGAGCTGAGTTTGCTGAACTAAGGGCCTTTACTGCCCTTAGTGAGGTGGCATTGCCCTTCATGAGTGAGTGTTGCACATTATTAGCTCAAATTGGGCTGGCTGATGAGATATCCACATACTTTTGTGTCTGTGTTAGACACAACTGTACCTGAGGGTGGGTGGGTTAATGACCTGCCCCTTCTAGTTAGGTAGTAGAAAATAATGTGAAATGTCAGTTTGAAAGATGTCACTACCTCCTCCTTTTGGGTTTTCTCACATCAGTGTGGGAAGGGAGAGGATGGAGACTAATTTTACCAAGTTTTGTATAGTATAGTTCCCTTTTCTTCAGCAAACCAGGCTGAAGATAGCATGAATGCTGAAGTGCTGCTGAAATGCTGCTTTGGCTTGGTACCTGTGTGTGCTGTGACATGCATCCTTCTCAGGTGAAGGAGGTACAATATCCTCCTCCTGAGATTGTTCAGTACTAGTTTGGCGATCAATTTATTTTGTAAAATTTAAAATTTTCAAAGAGAACGCTTAGAATAGACCTTCTTTATTTGCCCCTCCTCCCTTTGTGTTTTTTTTTTTTTTTTTTTTTGTCTTTTTGCTCCTTTCATTTCCCCAGTTCTTTCTGGGGTTCTGTTCTATTCTGTGTTTTTGCACGGCTTTACAAAGCATTGTTATACCTGCAAGACCAACTACTGTTGTATTTTAAAGGGGTCAGACCCCTGAAGGGATTTAATTTATATAATGCTGAAAAAGGGTTTCTTAGTGGGAGTACTGTGATCCAGTATGAGATTTTTGGTAATTCTTTACAGCTCCTGCATAATTCCTTGGTTCCGTTTTGTGGAAATTCTTAAAATTGCTGAAAAGAGCATGTACTGCTTGATTAAAAAATTCAGTTACAGCTTGTAGCACGTGAATTTGTCATCACACTTTGTCATAGTAATTTTACCTTTTCAAGTTAACTGATTTTGCACAGGTATTTATAAGAATTGTAAGAAATTTTCTCTGTATTTTTTCTGTGCAGGCAAAAGAACTGTTCCTGAAGGCAGTGGAGCAAGAACAAAATGGGGCCCTTTATGAAGGTAATTTGGAAATCTGCAATGAGCACCCTTATTACAGACACTCTTAACACTCTCTGATTTATGTGCGAGCTGTTATAAATAGTTCCGCTTGCTGTGCTGGGGAAGATACTGCAGCATGAACCTGTGAACTTAAACTGAAGGCTAGTAGTAATCTGAGACTTAGACTGTATAAATAAGAAAACAAACCTGGTATAGAAGTAACTATCAGATCACAGTTCTAACTTAATTCAAGGAAAGTATTTCTAGTTTCCAGACAAAAAATAGAGAGGGTATTTTGAAACCCAGAAGCATTCACACTAGGTTCAATTTACTGAAGCACCAGATTGCTCCTCCTTAACTAAAATCTATTTTTGATTGACTTTGAACAGAGCCACTTAAGCCAACAACTGTTTTTTGATATATGTGAAGATAGTTTAAGATTATTAGATTATATGTGAAGATATCTTAAGATAAAACGAAAGTTTACATTGGGTAGTCTCGCTTTCTCAGGTTTGCCAAAAATAATTTAAGATGCTGAGCTTGCTTGTCACTTTGTATCCACCAACAAAAATAGATATGCAATGTTTTCCTTCTCCACTTTACTTTCAGAATAAGTAGAGTAAGATACTCACCTGAACTCAAAGTTCAGGAGGTTGGTAGTGGAGAAATTAAGTAATAAATAGGGAACCAGTTATTACACTGAGTAATAATGAACTCAGACACCTCTTGGACAGAATATTTCCACTCCACCATGGGAACTTTTTCCTCTTTTGGAGGGAACTCTCAGTGTTGTTCCAGATCACAAATCATCTGAGAAAGTTGTGAGTCCCTTGTAGGTAATAATGCTGGTTAATTCTTCCATTTTTAATTCATTGTATGTTTTTACATGGCAAAATTACTTCAGGCAAAAGTATTTTGTGCATTAGATGCACAGTTAAATGCCTAGACTTTTGTTTTTGTTCTAAAAAAAGGCCTTAGAACTAAATAAGAGGGCAGCACTTTGGAAATTCTGTGGTGCGTTGTAAGGGTTTGTTCATACCAACAGCATATGGGGACATTTTTACGAAAAGGCTAAGGAAAGCAGACTGGAAAGCAGACTATTTCAGTGCTGTGCATATGAAACAAACCCAGAATCTTTATATGCCTGAGTGTAGTCCATGAGCACTACGTGCAGCAGTGGAGAAGTAGTAGCACCTGTGAGAGGTTTGCAGTCGCACAAACCTCCCGGTGCTTGGGCTGCCTGGTGAATACGTTCTTTCTGAGCTGATTGTGATTTGAGGGTTAAGGAAACAAAAATAAACTGCTGCTATTCATATACCCCTATGAGAGACAACGTCCTACAGCAGGCACTTGCTGAGTAGGTCTTGAGCAATCTGCTTTAAACCAAGCTTTTAGCTGCTGACCCAGGCCAGTTCACCAGCACCCAAGTGACCTTTCAGCCTCCTGCAGTCTGTTGATATTCAAAGTTTGCAAGACAGTTACGTGAAGCAGCTTGTTCACGCTGAGTACAGTACAGGCCCAGCTGCTGGATTAACTGCTGAAGTTGGGCATGCTGCTCAGCTGGGGTTGCTGGTCTTCCTCATTCTCACCAGCCAAAGAATTAACAGTTCCTTCCCAGAAGATGTTTTTCCTGATTTTGTTTGTTTTGTTTTCTATTTTCTTTACTTTGTTGATAGCATCTTTGGAGTATTAAAGGTAGAATTACTTTCCCTGACTCTTGGAAGGAGAAACCCTGTTAGTTTATCCTCACAGTTGTTTGCTGTGCAGCTTGCTGAAAACACCCTTCTCCTCCCATACTCCATGTTGGAGTTGCTCCAGTTGCTTCCTGTAGCTTCTGTGGTTTTGTCACAGCTCAATTTACTCACTGTGTCTGTTGTTGAGGTTTAAAAGAAGAGCAATAGTTCATCTGCTCTTTTGCAGTTTTACAATGTGATGTATGTTTGAGTGATCGTCTGTATTGAGTAATGCAGAATTAAAATATACCTGTATTTTCTACCTACATTCAAACTATTTTTCACATTCCTTGTAGTTATTTATGACCATAGTGCCTAAAATACTCTTTTTTTCAATTATTTAAGTATTAAGCAGCAAACAAAACCAGAACTTTCTAATATTTTACTATAAACCTTTGTACTCTGTAATTGAATATGTAGTGATTAAGTTAGATCTGTAGAAGCTGACACCTATCTGAGGCAGGTTTTAATTTTGAAAGTGTATTCAATTTGCCCGTCTTCTGCACTGAATTTAAACCTTTATTCTAATCGGTAAAGATTGTTAACAAGAATTGCTAGGCAAAGGTATTTTCCACATTTTTGGTGCTTTTAGCAAGCCAGAATGCTATAGCTGCCCATCCCTCTGGAAGAAGCTTTGCTTTGATGAGCTACTGTAGACATTAGACGTTTAAGCATTAAACCTTTTTTCAGCCATCAAGTTCTATCGTCTAGCCATGCAACTTGTTCCTGACATAGAATTTAAGATCACCTATACACGTTCCCCAGATGGTGAAGGAGTTGGAAAGAGGTGGTAAGTAAGAAAAGATTTACTAATCGAGAGCACAGAAGTACTGAAACATGAGTTTTTTTCCTAATGCAGGAGTGCTATATTGTGATACACAATATCACTGACTTATAATTGTCGTTTTAAAAAGTGGTGTGGTTTAAAAAAGATAAAAGACTAGTTTGGGGCAAGTTAAATTTAAGTAGAAAAAAAATATATATGTAACAAAATGCATCAGCCACATTATTACTTTTGCCTTCTGTTTTTCAATTTTTTGAATTATACATTACAGGAACATCTACATAATTGTATTTATTAACTAATATTAACTAAAAAGATCGGTTACTGAAAGTTTTGTAGCCTGAAATAAGCATAGCGCTAAAACAAGGCAATATACTGCAGTTCTGCTGACTGACACAGCCAAATGGGAACGTTCACAATAAGGAGAACAGTAAACTTAGAAGATTAAATGTTATAATCTGAGTAGTCCAGAGCTTCATCATTACAAGCGCTGGAATACCTGTAGCTTCACCACACCAGTAACATGGCAGCTTGTCGTTGATCTGACTTGTGGTTTGAGGACAGAATTCATGTACAGGCGAAAGCTGCTAGTAGAGCTCAGTGTTTTTTAAGACAAGCTCATGAAACACAGCTTGCAAATCTACTACTCACTGATAGCATCCATAGCTGCTAATAGGTACAATAAATTAGATTTTAAAAACTGAAAATAAAAAAGCAGAGGATCGCTCACATGCAATTCCTAACTCAGTCTTCTTGCCCCAGGGCAGTGCAGCTTCATTGCAGCAGTGGTTTAATACAGAAGACATGAACTAAGTGCTCCATTTACATATGTTATTTTAGTATTTAAATGCATGGCTGACATGACATTTTTTACTGTACTTTTATTGTACATTTTGTGCTCTAGGGATGCTGGATTGCACAGTACAGTCTTGTAAAATTCTTGAGATTTTTAACATTAATTTCTGAGCAGTAGTAGGTGGCTTTTGTTTTACCATCTAGTTCCTACCCTAAAATTTTTTAATCTGATGTTTTACAGTTGTTTTCAATATCCTGAGCTGTGGCAGGAATTACGAAAATATTTTGTCATTAAATACAGTGAACTGCTAAATCCAGAAAGAAACTGCTTAGATTGAAATTAAATGGGGAAATACATATTGCCAGAGGTATTGCAGCAAAATGAACCACATAGAATTAATCGAGTTGTTTTATGATGTTTTTATTACATGATAAAGTGCGACTGATTTCAAAAGAAACCAGGAAACTATATCAAATGAAGAGAGCAGATCAAAGCCTATATAAGAGCATATATGGGTATGCTTTTTCCAGCATGAGGTGTTGTTACAGTGTTTTGCTTTGTATAGTGTTGAGGATAGTGAAGAGGACGGCAAGATGGCTGATCTTTTGACAGATTTCCAGCAGCAGTTAACGCTTCAGGACTCCTCAGTCAAACTTTGTCAGCCCGAGCTTGATGTCAGCCAGACCCATATCTCAGGTAGGAATTACGATTGGAAGAGGAATTTTTTTGAGATGCTAAAACAATCATCTCCTTAATTCCAAAGCTATTTGGAATTTGGAAGCTTAATTTCATGCTATCCATTCTAAAGCCCATACTCAATATGTCTTCCTAGTATGGCATACATCTGACTCTTCAAAGTTAGATGTAACGAACAAAAGATCACCAGGCAGCTAAACAGATTGTCTGTTTCATACAGAAAGTATGAAAAAAAAAAAAAAGGATTTTTTCCTATATTTCTAAGTCTTACAAACTCTGTGCCCTTCGGAGTGGGAGCTGTGCTTTTACAATGTCTTACCATAATGCACTTTGAACTCTTGATTTTTTTGTTCTTCCTTACGTAGCTTTTTGTTATATATAGTATTTTTAATGAAAAATAATCTTATTTGTTATGTTCCCTGGTATCTGAGATGTACAAAAGTAGGATTTCCTGTGGAAATATGGATAAGTTACTGATCTATATGTTAGTGTCTAACATGGAGTTCTTTTCTGTTTGCAGTGTTGCCTCTGGAAGTCCTAATGTACATTTTCCGATGGGTGGTTTCCAGTGACTTGGACTTAAGATCATTAGAGCAGTTATCTCTTGTTTGTCGAGGATTTTACATTTGTGCAAGGTATACCTAGAATGAACTTTTTTTGCTCTAAGGAAAGAAAGAGCTGTTTTTCAGCTGAATCCATGATTTGTAGTAAACAACATACTGAGGGTGATGGTGTGAAATTACCTGTACTGTGAATTTTATTTATTTATTTATTTTAGGCTACATGTGGAATTACATCCTGCTTCCTCGTCCCATGTTATATGCCTCACAGCACTGACTAACTCTTAAATGTGATAGTAATTGGTGTATTATGTAGAGGACCTAATCTCTGTTTAAAAAAAAAAAAAAAAGCTTCTAGATCTTGTTTGAAAATCAGAGTTGCAGGGTCTCCAAGAATAGTACATCTGCTGTGTTGTCACGATCATACGGTCAAGTAGAATAGAGCCAAGTTGTCACAATGTTAACTTATTGCACTTATCTGAGATATTGTTGTGCCTTGCGTTTCACTGGCAGGAAGAAATAGCTTTCAGATTCTCAAGGGTTAAGTAAATCACTTAGTGATTTAAATTATGAGTTATTCTTGTTTAAGAAAACTTCCAGTTGCATCCAACACAAAGTTTGCAGTGGGTTACTTTGACACAAATACTAAGCAAGCCTGTTTTGTTTTGTTTTTCTTATTTTCATTATAGAGATCCTGAAATCTGGCATCAAGTTTGTTTGAAAATATGGGGCAGGAGCTGCAATAAACTTGTTCCATACACCTCTTGGAGGGAAATGTTTTTGGAGAGGCCTCGTGTTCGATTTGATGGTAAGGAGTCTCTTGGAAACAGATTATTCTTATTGTATGTAAGTATTACAGAAAAAAAATAGTCAGATTTTGTATTTATGCTGTTGTTAGACCTAATCTGAATTTATTTGGGCTTTTGAAGCTCTAGGGTATTTGTAAAGGCTGGAGGAGGGTACATGGGGCCAAAATAAAAACTTTCTTGTGTTTTAGTAACTAAAGTAAACTGAGAAGTTTGGGATTTTTATTTATACCTCATACATTTTGCCTACTTCATTTTTCTTTATATATTTATTTTTTCCTTTTTTGTAGGTGTATACATCAGTAAGACAACATATATACGTCAAGGAGAACAATCTCTTGATGGTTTCTATAGGGCATGGCACCAAGTGGAATATTACAGGTAGAACTGTAGTACAATGAGTGAGTGAAATGTTTCTCTCTCTAAGTACTGTACATTGAAATCCAGCCCTTGATATCACTATTAACTATTAACTATTCTCTAAAATTCAGTGGGAACATTACTGTGTGTGACGCTTTTCTATGTATTGCTGAGAGAAGGTCTTAGAATGTGGTAGAGTTGCTAGAGCTGGGTTCAGAAACACATTTCCTCCTCAGTTATACTTTTCCATGTGGATGAAGTTTAAACAGTAACAGCAGTAACACTCATTCCCAGATTTCTTCTCCTTCCCCAAGTAATTTACATTCTGATGTAATAATTGTTTTCAGCAAAGAGGTAAAAAAGTGATTCCACAAAGATTGCCTTTAAACTTGTTTGTATCCATCAATAAGCAGTCTAGTGGTTGAGATCTCTGGAATTGCTCTAAAGACTTTGCTGTTTGTAGACTGCAGTCTGTTTCTCTTGCTGTTCTTCATCCTGCTGTTCACAAAGTACATTGTTTATTCTGATGTCCCTTCTGTGCTGGAAACTGTTAGTAGAAGTCATTGACTCATATGGCTATACATATAGTCTTTCAAGCATTAAGACAGTATCTGAGTATTATAAAAATGATCAAAATCCAGAACCCGAATGAAGTCCATAAAGCATTGTCCATTCTGTATTAATATTGCAATTAGGTTTTTATTACATTTGTCCCAGTTGATCCTGGGAATGGACAAACTTATTTGAGGTCAGTTTTGATTCCTGAGTAGGATTCTTGCTTGGATTAAAGTTGACAAATCTCCTGAATTTCAGCCCTATTGCATAAGCCTGATGATCTTTAATCCTTAAAACTCCTTTGATTTCTGATCCCTTACTGAGCTTTACTATGTGTGAAGAAGTCCATTTTCAGAATCTGAACTTTACCTGCAATGATTCCAAAAAAAGACATTTTTTTCTACATATATATTGTGTAATTATATTTCTGCAGGTATTTGAGATTCTTTCCAGATGGCCAAGTTATGATGCTAACAACTCCTGAAGATCCTCAGTCTATTGTTCCTCGCTTAAGGACTAAAAATACAAGGTTATTGAAATAATATTTGGTTATACAGTTTATTTTTCCTTGCTTTTACTTAGGATTTTTTATTTATAGTTTGACAAAGCTTCTTTATCTGGCTTTAGCGGAAAAAAAAGAAAAGAAAAAAAAACACATTGTTTTTATTTAAGATCTTCATATGTAATGAGATTTCTTTTACAGGTTCTGTGCTAGGATAGTGTCTAGGAAGACTTCTGAAGGAGGTAGATGGAAGAATACAGTAGTGTTGGCTCTTGTGGTTTTGAATGCTTTGAAATTTGTGATTTCAGTGTTGAGTCCTCTTTACACTTCCTTGTCCATGTGAAGGAAAGTGGGACCTTTAGGGGGACCTAACTAAACTATTGCTCAGTTTCTCTTGGAGGTTTGCACAGCTTGTTAAAAATCTTGTAGAAGATTGTTTGCGACTCCGAATGGGTTTGAGCTGTTCACTAATAGTCTGAAAATATTTAGCAGTAATCTGAAGAGAACCAACTAATTCATCTTTACTGTACCATTTGGGACAATTATAGAAATAACCTTTCAAAAAGTCTTCGTCACTTCTTACCATCAGTCAGCAGGGTACTCTACCAAATGCAAATAAAAAATAGTTTTCTTGGGTAAGATATGTAGTTTTCCTTTTATTCTTCTTATTTGGAATGTAAGTATCTGACTCCTCGAGACGGAGAATACTTTTTTATGTCCTTGACACTGTCCCCTTAA